GATTTTGGGAAGAACAGCCACAGCGGAAAGAACGTGGGGGGCAAGTGGGTTTTGACCACTGTGGGCTTTTAGGGTCTTCCCATGAATTGAACAGCAGGCTGGCAGCAGTCCTGTCCCAGCTGGGGGTGAAGGGGGTGTGCTGGAGGGCTCCCAGGCACCCATGCAGGGTGGCCCGTGGGCATGGAGGGCTGCAGGGTGCCTAAACCACCCAGGAAATTGTCTGTGCATGGGAAACATCTGCTGCTTTCACCCAAGGATGCACCAGCAGCCAAACCCAGCTCTCCTGGGACAGGGACCAAGCTCAGCACCACAGCACCCAGCTCTTGGTTGCTGCTGCCAACCCCCGAGAGGATGAGAACTTTCCTTGCAAGAAAAACTACCCCAAAATCAGCCCGTCCCCATTTGTCTCTGGTACGCAGGGAGCCCTGGAGGCCACGGAGAAGAGGATGAGCCTGCTGAATTTCCATGGCAACACCAGGGAATAGCTCCATCCATGGAGAAACCTCCCCAGGAACCATCCTGAGGCTTCGGGAAGAGAAAGTCCCTGCCAGGGTAGAGGCTGGCGATGGGCACAGCCAGAGCTCCTTACCTCCAGCATCGCTTTTGACAAGAAGCACAAAATAAAGAGTCCAAATAGGTGATTTAAAAGCAGAAAAAGTTGCAGCTTTTGCAATGAAGCCTGCAATAAAAAAAGGAGCAAAACCTGAACCAACCCCAAACCCCACGAAGGAAACCAAGCAGCCCCCAAAGTGGAGTGGGACACAGGGGGGTCAGGGAATAGGGGTGTTGGGTTTGCTCTAAATCCCACCTTGGGGGTGGGAAAGAAGAGGTTTAAAAGACTAAAGAGGAAAAGACACCATCGGGTTTCTCCAAGCAGAAGGACAGAGGTGCATGAGGGACATTGATGACCGAGTGCCCAGGACGGTGTGTCACTGTCCCCACAGCTCTGCTGTGCCAAACGCTGCTCAGCTCCACACTGCTGGGCCCAGCTCTGCTCCCGAGGCTTTAATTAAACATCATTAATAACCATGCACCACAGCCCCGTTAATGCAGCGGTGCCAGTGGGGACGAGTTTAAAACACTCGCCGGGGATTTTAATGCCTCCAGAAGTACGATGGATGATGATTTGTGAGGCTCTGCATCACGAGGAAGCTCTGCCTGTCATGTCACCCTTGGAAGAGCCCAAAAAGCTTGGAAAACCACACGGAGGAACCGTGGCCACCTAAACAGCACCTACACCAGCCTGACCCCATGGGGACCTGGGGACAGGAGCAGGTTTGGATGCTGGAGCCCCTGTCCCTGAGGGGTTTTGGTGGCACCGCAGCCAGCAGGAGGAGGAGGAGGAAGGGGTGCCCATGCCACCAAGCTGCCCTCACTGCCCAAAGTTTCCCTGAGAGATGGTGTCGGCTTCCAAACCTCGCCTTTGCTCTAGATTAAAAGAAGAGCTTTAGCAGATCAGCCCTAAATCCAGCCCCACGCTGCTCCCGCACAAAAGGGAAGTGGTAACAGCTTGCAGGGCTCCAGCTGTGCACAGGGCTGGCTGCGGGGGCTTTCTGGGGAGGGGATGGGGGGTCTTATCCCCAACGCCTCTGGGATGCTCTGGGGTCATGGTGCATCCTCCACCCATCCCGCCTGTGCCAGGCTTTGCTCCTGTAGCCGTAAGACAGACACACAGAGGAATGGGGCTGCAGGGCTGTGCCCGTAGGAGGGATGACCCCATCCTCAACCTTATCCTACTGGTTGGGACCTGAAGGATTTGATCCCTTGGGCAAGTGGCCCCAAACCCCTGAGCAATCACCCTCCAAACGGTGCTGTACTCTCAGGGCGGGGGCCTTTGTTTGACTTTCTCCCGCTCTGGCACGCAGGTGGCCGGGCTGGGTGGGGACCTGTTTGCTCTAAGAAACCGCTTTGCGCGGCTCTTTTTTTGAGGTCTTGGTTTGTTTGGTGTTTTTTTTTCCTTTTCCCTGGAAAAGAAGAGCTGGAGGGGCAGCCCTAGGGATACTGAGATGCTCACAAGGAGAGCTGACCCACATGGTGACCCAAAAAACTTCACGTTCACTGTCTGAGCTAAACGGGGCTGCGCTGGTAATTGCATCAGCCCTGGCAAACCATCCCTGGCTCGTGCACGATGCCAGCGGTGAGCACGGTGCTGGTCCTGTGGGCTTTGCACCAGAGCTCACCCACAGCAAAGCCACATCAGCACAGCCCCAGCTCCTGCCATACTTTAAATAAATCAAATTACGAAGCCTGTAAGGCTCCCAGTTTTGCCTCCATGGGTGCACAGGGGTTCAGACATGGTGACAGGGCTCAGCAGCCCGTGGGGAGGCTCCAAATGAGAGTGGTGCCAGCCCTGAGGTGCTGGGTGCAGCAGGGTGCTGCCCACTGGACACCCATCCCTGCCCCAGCATCCTCACCCAGCCCTCCCCACGCACCCATCATGGGAAGGCAAGGCTCCAGTGTGGAGCAGCAGACCCCAAACTGGGATGGATCCATCAAGTCCCCTGAGTGTTCCTTCATGTCCCACAATAAAGCTCAACCACCAGTGTCCCACGGCACGGCCAGGAGCTCCCTGTCATCCCCAAGATGATCAGTGACCCTGCCTCACTCCTCGGTGCTACCCATGGGTATGGAGAGGACACCCCAGCCAGCTGGGATGGGCACAAGGTGCCATGGCTCACACCAGCACCGTGGGGATGCTGCAGCATGAGGGCTGGCTCCCCACGGCAGCGTGGAGCAGGGCGAGGAGGAAAAGGCAGAGGCCACCACTGAAGGGCATCGTGACAGCCCAGCCCTGAACGGCTCCAACAACAGCTGAGAAAACCAACCCAGATGTTTCCTTCCAGCAGAAACCCCGGGGTGGAGGGGCTGGGACAAGGGTCCCATGGTGCAGGGCCAGCAGCGAGCCAAGGGGTTTGGGTGGTGCTGGGTCATGGCTCAGCTCCACAGGGTTGCAGTGACTCAGTCCCATCCAGAGCCTGGGGAAGGGGTGGATGCCAAGACCCGAGGGGACGAGGATGGGGACAAGGACTTCTTGTGTCACCCTGAGCTCTCCTGGCAAACACAACCCACCATCACTCAGGGCAGTGACACAGGTGCTGTCAATGGGGGAATCAACCCTTGGGAGCAAGAAAAAAGATAAATAAGAACTGCAGCCGAGCAGCACCCTCAAACAATGGGCCTGTTAATTACAATTAAATCCGCCGTTAGACAGGTTGTGCCGGAGCACGGCCTGGGAAGCGCCGGGACCCACGGGGGTTGGCTCGCTGTGGGAGGAGGTGCTGCCTGTCATACCCAGGACGTCTCCCAAATCCCCAGGTGCTTCCAAAAGCCCTTCCCAGGCAGCCAGGGTGGTGGGTCAGGCTCTGGGGTCACCTTCAGCCCCCAGGCAGGGGATGGGGATGGGGTGGGGACAGGCTGTGCTGTCTGGGGAGGAACTGGAGATATGTGGGATCCTGGGCAGCGGGATTTGTGCTTTAACGGATCCTTTAAACCTCACCCACCCCGCGTGCCCCCAGCACAGCAAACTGGGACCACAGCGGTGGGAGAGGCTGGAGACCCACTGACCCAGCAATTCTCCTTCTAACCAAAAGCCCAACTGGGGCTGGGATTTGGGTGATTTTTCCTTGTTTTCTGGTCTGACTTGGCACATTTTGCCCTGACCACCTTCCTGGACTCAGCTTTCCACCTCGGTCCCCAAGGAGGGGTCAGCCTGTGCCCTGATACAGACCCCGAGGCCAACCCCACTGGGACACGGTGAGGTGACAGAGCCTGTTGGCTCTGCCAAACGGCTGACAGCCAGGAGGAGACACGAAGCATTTTATGGGGGCCAGATTAAATGAGTGAAGGGACCTTGAGGTCTCCGCACGAGCTGGGGCTGCAGCAGACAGCCGGGTGCTCAGAGCTGACAATTTGGGGTCCTGACACCTTGTCCCACCCATCCACCAGCCTCACCACACCAGCCATGCCACGTCCCTGCCAGCTGCCAAACCCTGCCCACCAGTGCCATGCACCCCTTTTATCACTGGGTGGAGAGAGGAGGGGTTGGCCAAAATCACCCCACAGTGGGACAGGGGCTTGGGATGGCACCTGGGGGGTGTGACAGCCCGGGTGTCTCACTCCCAAACCTTGCTTGGGGTTGGGGCCAGGGCAA